AACATGTACTATACTATTGAATAGTACTAATTCCACGGAAAGTGATAGTGTTTCGCAGAACACCGATAATTGTTTGACTAACATCTCCTGCGATGTTTAGCCAACATTTAACAACTTTATGAAGACTAGCGCATGACAGAAAGTTCGTAGGTGCCTCCGATTCAATACAATTGCCACAAGCCCCAGTATCCAGAGGTCTCAATACAAAATTAGCAAGAAGAGTCACTTCAGCATAAAGACGAGCTTTATGAAGCCTATCAGTTAACCAACAAGTTAAACGCTTTCGTATTAATCCCAGTCTTTTCCAAAATGAGCAAATCCGTACAGCAGGTCACAACATGGCTAATTATTCAAAATGTGAACACTGGCATAAAAACATTCCTTGAGTCTTTAATGGTACGGCTTATTGGGCTCATGATAGATAGACGAACAGATACTCTTTCGACTCCAGTAAACAGCCGCTCAAAGCAACAAATTAGTATATCCAAAACCCAAACCAAAACACTTTTATTATATGCCAAATCTGCCAACTACGTAGAATCGCATAAAAAATAAGCATTCAATCAAAACAATAAGCAAGTACTATATCGTATATAGAAAGAATATGCCTTAGAAGAAACTGTCGAATTGTTCAGACAGTCTAACCCAAGCCGTCGATTGTCGATAGGCCAAAAATAGGGAAATTAAAATAGGAGAACTGAAAAAGTCAGTAAACCCAAAACTAAGACAGCGAAGGGGATATATACACTAGCTTGCAAGAGCACCCTGTTTCCTGAAAAACATCAACGGTGTTGTAGAATCGCATAGGTAGAAAGGAATTCTTTATCAAGCAGTATAAGATAACATGCTAAAAGTGAGCTTAAGCGATGTGGATAAAGGCGCTCTGATATGGTCAATCACTTATGTGAAAACCAATTTTTTTCCACATTTTTATATATAAAAACATGTGCCAATAATTCTAGTAATTGATAATTGTACTATTGTCAGGTAAGGGTAATGAGAAATAAATGATAGTTAAACTCAATGCAAATGTTGTGAATAAGCTAATAGTTGCAAAGTTCCAAAGATCATATGAGTGCATTAAAAAAAATAGGTTCACTCGTTCGGGAGCGTTACAAGAACATCTCGAAATAATAACGAAATCATTGGAAAATAGTTGTGAACTGATACAATATACGGAATATGCACGAGAAATATAAAGAAGCAGCGTTAAAAATTTACCGGGTTCTAAGGTACCTAATGGTGAAAATACTCGCGAAGTGTACCATGCAACAAAACATGTCACACTATATCGCAGGCCTTCTGAAACTTGGTATAAAAGCCTGGATACTGTCAAGGAATACCAAACAGTCCCAACCAATCTAGAAGAAACTAACTCTAACATAGATAGCGATAGTGATAACGACACAATGGCACAGACGGCGGTTAAGTTTCTGAGCACGGTCTCAAGTATCATTACGCATTTCGACGGACAATCAGAAAATTTTGAATAATTTTTAGACGCATTATCTCTAGCCGATGCTCTTCAAGCCACTCATGTGACAGTGGCAACATTCCTAACACAGAAAGAGTTGAAAGGAAATGGAAGAAATTTGGTCGGTAGTGAATTAATGATTATTCAAATCATAAGATCGACTGACTAGTTCTGTAAAAGGGGATTCGGATGACGTACTCTCAGCCAAAATAATAAACATTTGGTTGTAAAACCGAGAAGTTTCGAAAAGTGTGGATACATCAACATAATGTCGACACTAGTCTTCTTCGTAATCATTAAACCTAACATATTTTACATCGTTGCATTAAAAAAAATTCATTTTGTCTATGCCAGAATTATGAGAAAGTTTCCGTTTTCCAAATCAATTCTTGCGTCTACTTGTTTAAATATATCCAAAGTTTTCAAAATAAATATTTTCGTAAATTTAGAGTGGCCTACAAAATGTGTGTTCACATGTACTATATTCTTCAGCTCTGACAGAGGTTTAATATAAATCTTCGAAGTCCCAGTATCAATTAGCAGTGCAATATTTTTCTTTGACACAGTTTTCCTTATGAATGGTAACAGAGAATTTCCTCTGACAAATTAACATTTTCGGTAGACTATGACCTCATCTCGGCCATGTCATAATATTATACTTATTGCTACTAATCTCGTAAAAAGGCCTCCTGTTAACCTTTCGACATTTTGGATAGTGCACATCCTCTCCTTCTCTTACACTATAGTCTTTGGTCAATCGTTTAAAGCGGGAAAAAGAATCGCTTTATGTCCGTAATTTGGCCCTGGCCAACATGTTGCGAATCTGATTGCACGTTCTTGACGATAATAATTTCGTTCAGCATAGTTGTCACGATCTGCAAACTTCTGACATTTGCTGCTTGCGTCTGTTTGCTTTAGCTTATTTTTTTCCCTGGCAACAACGCCACAACATAAATTTCATATCAGTTGGCAAAACTTATTTGTTAGTAATGAAAGTTTCCGCTCAACCTCATAGTAATATTGAACCACTTATTGCGCAACGATTGATTGGGTCCCAAAACTCTTGTTTAGTCAAATGCAAACGTGTGTAAAGTCTAATGTCACTTTAATAGCCAGAGAATCCACCACTGTGTTGAATGACGGCGTCTGCAGGGTTCTTAATTTTATTAAAGACATTTACTTAAATGTCTTTCTCTCTGGATTTACCGCTGCCCGAAATGTAATTCTTTTCATAATTTTTCGATTTTTTTTTGTGAGCTTGTATCACGACACACGCCACGACCTGTACTAGCTTAAATATTCCTTCTGCGTTCATTGTTCCAACTTTCTTTTTTCCGTTAATAATTTGTCTGAAAAAAAAATGACAACTATTTTACGCTCATAAATTTTAATATCGTTTATTACCAAAAAAGCAAAAAATTTGCGCTGTGCTTTTGAGTTGGTAAACAAAATTAACAATTCTTTATTACATCTCATGAATGAATAGTCAATGCACTTATATGACTTCCAGCTTTAATTAATGGCCATAAACTATTTAATTTTCTTTCACTCGGAATGGGATAGTCTTTATTTTTCCTTCGTTTTGAGCGGGTAAGTTTTCAAAAATATCTTTGAAATGATTTTTCAGACTAGTCACTACTTTAACTGGTTAATATCTATTTGTTTTTTGTACTTAAATTTTCACTTTAACAATTAAACGGTGTAGTTTTCATATTTTTCTCATTTAAGTTTTGCTTTTTCCGTTTCGGCGATATGAATATTTAGCGAATTTATTTGAACTGTACTGGGAACAGTTATCAACTTTTTGCTCTTTACAGTTACATCGTACCACTAATGTTGTCCAATGTTAAATGGCACTTAAGGGCGAAATCGAAAAATATGTTAAAAAACTGATAACTGCTTCATCACATGAATTTATGAATTGTACGTTATATACAATCTAATAATACATCCGGGAAAATGTCAATTTTTCATGGGAGAGGGAACATACTTCGGACCTAAATGTACTGATAAGGGAATACTTCCGAACGATACTATATATTCAACAATTGAAAATTGCCCTACACGAAGAGACGTTGATTGTGCAAATGAATTCATCACATTCTGCAGTTACAATCGTAGGTTCATAAAAAATATTTCCGAATGTTCTAGACATCTAACAAGTTTGTCTAAAAAGGGAATACAATTTAAATGAACGCAGTGTTATGAAATAACAGTTAGATATTTCAAAATAATGAGTCCAACATTATTCCAATACCCGGTAAACAACAAATAATTCTGCATAACGTCCAAGCAGACGTACCCATGGAGCCGTTGCTTGTTGCAAAACCACGAAAGGTGAATGTGAAAAATCGAGCGATAAACAAGAATTAACTACAATACTTTGGTCTATAACACATTTTAAAGTATGCATATACCGCAAACATATTTTTCCCGCTCTGATCACAGGCTTCTATCTTACTTATTTTGCATGGAAAATCCGAATTTCTAATTAAGAGGAATGAGAGTCGACTGGAATGTGGTTTTGCGTTCGAGTCTCTTTCTAGTAGGTACTCGTTTGATGCCTTATCACATTTTACGCTGGAAGGTTTTAAAGACATGAACAAGAAGACAAACTATTTGATGAAACTCTCGACAAGATCAATGACAGACAAAAAAGGCAGAACGATAAGGAATAACACATTGAATAAGCAAAATGAATGAATATGAAAAGCTCATTATATATATACGTATAACTAATCCTGGAAGATGTTACATCAAACGAGGAAAACCTGTAAAAACATGTATATAAAGCAATGATTTGCTTATTCGTGGCAAATTTAACTTAGAGTCATTCTTTCAACGTTCGAAGAAGTGGCCAGTAAAGATGACCCCTATACAGGGTTGTTTAGAAGTTTACAGGACAATTGGCAAGTTACAAAAAATTATGGTATAGTAAAAAAATCAGTAAAAGTATATTATTATTGGAAGAATATGACGAATGCCGTTATGCAATACGTAAAACAGTACGTTTAAAACTACTAAAAATTTGAAAAGTCCAGTGACTTTAACGGTAACACCGGCACGGGCTTTCGACACAATATTTATTGACACCAAAGAACCTAAATCGATTGAGGGAAACGAATACGCAGTCACTATAATATGTAACCTAAGAAATATCACGTAACCACACCAACTTTACCTCTGGTGCAATAAAGATCTTCATTTCGAACAGGGATACTGAATACAAAAATTCAATATTATCAGAATTACGTAATGTCCACAAAATCAGAAAACTAACCTCAACAGCCCATCATCACCAAACACTTGAAACATTTAAAAGTAGTGACAGAACTCTATAATATATAGATTACAGAAGACAGAAGATTATAATATATAGATTAAATACATTACGAATTCCTTTAATACTACACCATCTAACTGGGATTACTCCATTGTGCAACATAGATGACTAAACTAAAGAAACAAAATTTAGATTATCTAGTGTACTGTAAAATGGTCAAGACGAAAGCGATGGCCACGCTCAAATAATGAACCCTTGCTTTATCTGCTTCCGGTTTATTCTCTGTTCCTTATCACATCTGTGCCAGCGCCGTCGCTTTGCCTGTATAAATATAGAAAAATTAAGCTGAAATTTGAACTTGCATATTACAAAATGGAACAAATTAATTCAATATTATTCCAAGATATTATAGATTAGAAGTATCGCGTAACAGAGCAGCGAACACTTATTGTATAGATATTAATTAACTTTACTCATGAGAGGAATGCAATAGGTCATAGATTTGATATAGATCACTAAGTTCCGCTTAGAAATAAAATATATAGTAAAAATATACTTACAAGAGATAGCAATAATATAGTATATTAAAAATCAAATAAAAGAACAAGTAGTTCATAAAAATAAACTTAAGCTATATAATAATACAACCGAACGAAGGTTAAGTGGTATACTACGCATCTAATTTCAACTTAGTTTGAAAAAGAAGGGATGCCGCTATGAATTAATTGATAGAAATGTAGCATGAAACTAATTTTACACAATCAACATATATCGAATACCTAATCAAAACCTTAAAAACACTGTGGAGTTATGCTTGTTCACCATAAAGGGGCTACGGCTAACAATTGCTGTTGTTGTGCTTACAACATTTCATTATATGTATATATGCAACACTGCATCAATACGGTCTTGCCCCATGCTACTAATTATGTATCTTTTAGTTAACTAGCTCTCACATCACGGCGTAACTTCAAGGCCACTTAGTATGACATTAAAAAAATAAAAGAAAATTAAATCACAAATTTTATAAACAAACAACAACTCCACACAAACGTAAATAGAAGCAAAATTTTATAAAATTTTTAATAAAATGGTACGAAGGGAAATAATACGCATTTTCAACAAAAAAAAGGAAGGTGAGTTACATTGTTCCACGAAAACTAGTCAATGAATTGTGTGCGCGTGTAGTTAAGCAAAATTACGAAAGATATAACATTAACTAAAAGAACAATATGGAAATATTTTTTTGGTCATTTGCATTAATTCATTTCACCAATCATCGTGGCTACTTATAGATCAATTAGAAAAGAACAAGTATAGATAATGCTGTTTTTCATCATACGCTACTCTGAGAGGACCGAAAATTTGTACTAAAGCACTGGTCACGGATGCCAATACTTGCACAGCCAACAGCAGACCTAAATTCATGGGCTTTGACGAACAAAGGTGTAGCCGGATGGCGAAGTAAGTTTACAAAAATTATGGTAAAATTTATTTGCATTTGTTTTAGTCTTACTTTTCCTTTTAGACTTGGACAGACCACAAATACAAGTCAATACGGCTATTGAGGGTCAACAGGTTATGGATGGTCGAGCTGGCAAATTTAGAGGCGGCAATCAGTGGTGACAAAAACTTACGTATGTATGGCACACCAACTAAAGCACTGCAATGCACTGCTGCCCACAAGTGGAGCACAGCAGGGAGCACAATTGTAATATATAATTTTTAGTTTATTTAGTAATTGTGTTTTATATATGTTTGGTAGCCTTCATGTGATAGACCTCGAGCTCAAGAATGACATGTCAATTACGAACCGAAGGTAAGCGCATATTGTTAATTTTCATTTTTACTATTAATAGTTGCGTAATTATTAATAAAAATAATCATTCTATGTCAGGTATTCATCCTTTGACGAAAATACAAAGAGGTCTAAAATTTATAAAGAATATAAACAGCTTCTAGCTGGTGTGTCTGTTGATTAAAAAAAATATCATCAACCTGTAAATTGAGGAATTTTTGTCTTTTTGAATTTAAGGATAGGATGCGTTTAAGATTCCCTATGAATCCTTCACAAAGCGTAAGTAAGTGTTGTTGGAGTTTAGCCCTAAACTGCTCGGCTTCAATGCGCCAAGTCTATCTGCTTCTTTATAAATGCCAGACGAGACATGAAGCAATTCCTAGGCGGATGGAACGCCTGTGTGCCTTTAACGAACTGATACGCTTTTGAATTGGTTTGATACAATTGATTTATTCAGATTTTATATATATGTAATATATAATTTCTAAAGAAATGCATGCCTCTACTAATTCTATGTTACAAGTGTGTTTACACATATAAATGCAGCATATTATTGGTGTATACACACTTTGGTGATCATTTTTAATTGTTTACTTACACCCAAATAAAATAGATTAACAGTCGAATCCAATTGACTCTTAGAAGTAAATCTTATACTAAATAATATTAAAAACTAGGAAAGAAAAAAAAGTTATAATAAAATAAACAAGAAAGAAAAAAGCATGTACACAAGTAGTACAGAGGCACACCCGCAACTAGTACATAATTAAATTGCAAGTGTACCCCTAAGCCATCGCATACACGCAAAAGTTTGGCAACCGATACAGCAAACAAAACCAATTAAATTTCGAATCATCATGAGATGTTAAGATTAAAAGTCATTTTAAATACGACAAAGGCAAATCGCGTGTATTAAGCAAAGTTGTTTTAATAGATTTTAAAGAATCCGATATTCAGATTAAGTGATAGACATAATTTAAGTTTCAGCAAACAACACTAAACGGGTTAAATAGCTCAGAATTATGTTTACATTGACTCAGCTTAAAGCAGTTTATGTAAATTATATACTACTTTATATCATGGTTAAAAGCGAAACTTTTCTTTTTTCGGTTTTGAGTCGTTGCAAAAAGCGTAGCCTTTTATTTTCACTCCCGGACTAATGTCAAGTTCATGGCAACGATACGTATCTTTTATTAACTCTCGTTCGCTTTGACACAGAAAGAAAGAAAATCGCTTTTCTTGACATTATGTATCACTAATGTCGGAACTTTCTTGCCTGTTATTTATTTTGAAAAATAAAAGAGAAATGACGGCAAGGATTATGTTGTAACTCCTGAACAGATCGGGACCATGTCATATCATTCTAATCCTAAAGACAAAAAAATTACATGCACATAAATTAACATTTAATCCATCCAAACCAAAGGGAAAGGAAAATTTATATAGATTAACATTTTTAGGTAGAGCTCCATATCTGGAAAAGTACGTGAAATAAAGTGAAATAATGTGCTAATGCAAGCAATGAGTTCGACGGCTTTCCAAGGAAGTGCAGTGATGAATTCTTATAATTATTGGTCCTTTAGTACAATATAGTGCACGGTAATGTGTGGAAGGATTCGTAATAGAGGTTTCGTTTTATTAAAAAGCAGATGTGTAATAATAGTTAGCTGTGTATTCTATTACCCCTTCTAAATTCAAACTTTTTCGTTTCATTTCTGTTTATACGTAATATTAAACGGAGCTCTGAACATTCAATTCTAAGCCAAATATCTTTGAATTGAAAGCTATCTTGATAGATATAAGAGAGGATATTTCACAGCTGTTACGCATACGTAAGCCAAACAAAATGAAAATTATTCTAAATTTTCTAAACATTCGAAGCTATTACTAATCCACATGCGCATTACTGGTACATACACACGTAATTGTATAACTACATTAATTGAATTGTAACTCAACAAAACTTCAGCGCATTGATTCTGTTACTGTTCATAAAATCCAAAAATACAAGCAACAACACTTAGCTAATATAAAGTTATGCCCATACGTTTATCTAACAGCCATATTGTGAAATCACAATATCTAATATGCAAATTTAAAATTTTACTCATTGGCTTTTACCTCATTCATATATTTGAAGGTAGTTGCGGTTATCTTTTTATAAACACTGGCCTTTTGAAAACACTCATAGGATTGCAAAAAGAAACAAATTTTGATATAATTTCATAAAGCTTTAGCTGATATCAATCATAAGTTTGATTTGAAAGTTTATTTATTTATATAACAAGTCCTAATTTCATACGGATAGTTGCCCATACATGCATTATTATCCTTATATGACTCTGCAAAAAAATTGTCAACAACGTAGCTATTAGACGACTGACAATTTTCATAACGCGTGTAACATACGTCAAGAGCTGGTGCTGTGTTTGGGCCTAACTAGTCCATTTGACGTGTTACAATAAAACGAAAAAAATAAAATAATGTAGATATCAAAAAGAAATGAATTAAAATAT